TCTGAGATAAATTTGAAAAATTCATGTTCAAAAGGACGTGTATCGGTCATTTTCACCCAATTAACCTTTTCAAATATACCACCTTGAAAAGAATTGTTCAAATGATGAAAGTTATCGAATTGATATGGAAGCGAATAAATATGACACGGAGCTTCATACTCTATTAGATTATCATCAGCATATGAACCAACTTGTTGATATTTTCTTTCAATAAAACTACGTTGAATATCATCATTCGAAAGAAGAGTGATATTGACATATCTATTATGAACTAGAGTATTTATACTAAAAGTAAATTTGTTTAATCGTGGCATATGAATAAGAATTTGATCGTATAACTGTATACCATCGATATAAGACGAATCATATCTTTTTATTATAAGAAATAATGTAAGTTCTTCAAGATTTGACATTTGACGAATTAATGGAACAATTTGATCATCATAAAACCTCGTTTGTTCGATTGAGATCAATGAAAAACATTTTAATTTCGAAAGTTGTTTCTAGAAATAAAAAAGTATATTGAATTCCATATTTATTCAAAATATAATGATCAAATATATATTTCTTTTACCAAGTTCTCTATAGTTGCTATTGAAATAGAAATTTCTTCTATATCGATTATTAATGTTGATAAACGATTGAAACGTCCATCAAGAAGATAAAGACAATGCATCAAAATTATTGACCTTAATTGTTAACTTAGTTACAATTGAAGAAATACAAGTTCTTATTAACACATAAGAACTTGAAGACACACTGAGCCGGTGTGTAAAAGTGAAATCGGTTAAATTTTTGCTCGTCCTTAATACAAATCTAAACACATATCGTACAGATTCAAAACTTTTCGTGTTGTTCGGTTGAATATCGAGATTAAAATACATAATTTGATTACGAAGAAGATAATGAAATTTTGGACAATCTTAAATATACAACAAAATATGATCATCAAATATATATAAAATTTACTTGACTAAATCAAAAAATATTGTATAGCAAACCTATTAAATATAATAATAATCTGGTTAAATCAATTGAGACAAATGATAATGAATGAAGTTGAGGAAAATTAAATGTATATAGAACACGTTGGATTGAAAGTTGATGAAGAGTAAGTTTATTTATTTGATGGTGAATTCGAGGTAAGATACTTGTACAAATTCGATTGAAACGTTTAGAATATTCTTTAAATTCACAATCAAGTAACAAATTGCTTGTGAAATTAAGATCATGAATATAGAGAGAGTTGAATACCAATCGATCAAATCGTTGATTTACATCGACAAGTGAATATAATATATCAATATTATTTAGTTTGTTGAAAATAGAAAGTAACATTTCATCAGGCAAGTCGAGTATATTCATTTCGTTTTTATTTAACATGTTCATACTTAATGATTCTATCTAGAAATTCAGTTCGATCTATAGTGCTGATCAAAAGTCTCTTATTCCCTGAAGTTTATCGATATTTCAAAATTTTGGCTTGAAATTTCGACTGCACGTAGATAGTGGAAAATGCTGATCATAGACACCAATTTGACCTTATATTATTTATAACTTAGCCAAACAATCACTTTGAAGATCGAGAAATTCATCATTCAAAAGCCTCAATCTTTAGTTTTCTTTGATAAAATTTTCATCAGAAAAGTCCTTCAGATGGCTGAGATGTCACTTTGTTAAGAATTACTATCGAATGTTAATTATGATGATTTTCAATTCGTCCCTGCGAAAATCAATTTTACATTGACTGATTTACTTGAAATTTTTTTCTCAATATAGTCATTAGATTAGGAATATTTCCTGGAAATTTCAGAGCTATAGTGTATTCTAAATTGACAATATGATTATGTAATGCCCATGGCGTAAAATATCTAAGGAAACGCACTGTGTAACGCGTTTCCAAGATTGGGGCATGCGTTTCGCAGCGTTTCTTCGAGACGGAATGCGTTTCACAGTATTTTTACTTATATAGAACGCGTTTTGCTGCCTTGAGTTTTTGAAACGATACGAAACGCTTCTTTTTGCGATTTCGTTTCGAAGCGTTTCCCAAATGAAACGCTGTTAAACTCATTAAGTCAACAAGAAAAGCATTGTACAGAGTCACAACTTGGAGAAAATGCGAAACAGGTTCTTTTAAAATGCATTTGCATCGGTTACGCTTCGAATGATGCAAAACTGATCTCTTTTGTTAGAGCATCTCGCACCAATTCATCTTCAAAAAGCAT